TTATAATTACCAATATTATATTTTTATTTATTTTTATATGTTTTATTCTTACCAAATAAGTATAATTTTTATTAAGTAAAACTAAAATTAAAATTGAAATTTATTAAGTAAATATAATATAATTAAACTTTTACATATTTTAAGTAATTATTTTAAGTAATTATTACAAGCATATTTTATTTTTTTATAAATGCATTTATTTTGAATGGTAAAATATATTTTTGCATTATTTGGTAATGTTATGTAATTATTAAATAAAATAAATCTGTTTTTTTATTTTTTATTGCTTTTTTTTTTCTTTAAATGATATATACAAACCGAAGCCGGTCCGTATATACCTATACGGATCGGTATCGGTCCGTATATGCCTTGAACAGTAGCTTTTCTATTTCGTTTTTTTTTTTCTAGGTTACATTTGGTGAACTTTAAAATTTTTCGTAGATATGTTTATTTTATTACATTTTTCAATTTTCTTTTATATTTATGTATATTTTGTTTTTTGTTTTATAGGAAATGTGAAGAATTCCAAGTAAAAGCATTTTTTTTATTTTGTTGTAAATTACATTATTTATATAGTTGTAGTTTATATATATTTATATTATATTTTTTATTTATAATTATAATTATCAATATTATATTTTTATTTATTTTTATATGTTTTATACTTACCAAATAAGTATAATTTTTATTAAGTATATATTCATACCTAATTTAATTTAGCTTTAGGATTAGAAAAACCTTGGAATGCCTATATTTGGACAGATACCAGTCCATATAAAGTTATACCGATCTGTATATACACCTGAACAGCAGCTTTTTATTTTTTTTGTTATTTTGTTCTTAAGTCGTTATACTCTCGTTTTAAACCGTAACATTCCGAATGTTTGCATATCAAAGTAGTTAACCTTAACAAAAAAATTTTATTTTATTTGCTTGGGACTCCGAAAGAACATTACGCAACATTATCTCTAATAACCTTCAACTTATACATTCGTGGTTTTGCAACGATATTATTTCTAACCATCGTAAGATAATTTCAAGTAGACAATCGATAGTTTTGTGGTTCCAAGGGACTGTAAGGTCAATGTAAATGCAATTGGTTTTTGCAGGAATGGATTTAGGACATGAGAAGATTGTGATGTCCTTAATTGAAAAGAATAAAAATGTTCACTCGGAGAAGTTTCTGGATTTTTTCTAGTATATTCGAATCAAAATCAGTCTGAAAAATGAAAAGCATGGAAGCTTCTGGATTCTTTGCATATATTCAGACCAAATCCGGTCTACATATATATTCATACTTAATTTAATTTAGCTTTATGATTAAAAATCCCTCGGAGTGCCTATATTCGGACCGATATCGGTCTATATAACTTTATATGGACCGCTATCGGTCTGAATATAAACCTGAATAGCAGCTTTTTATTTTTTTGTTATTTCGTGCTTGAGTCGTTCCACTCTCGTTTTAAACCGTAACATTCCGAATGTTTGCAAGCCAAAGTGGTTAACCTTGAGAAAAAAAATGAATTTTATTTGCTTGTGACTCCGAAAGAGCATTACGTAACATTATCTCTAATAACCTTCAACTTATACGTTCGTGGTTTTGCAACGATATTACTCCGTACCATCGTAAGATAATTTCAGGTAGACAATTGATGGTTTTGTGGTTCCAAGGGACTGTAGGGTCAATGTAAATGCAATTAGTTTTCGCAGGAATGGATTGAGGACACGAGAAGATGGTGATGTCCTTAAATGAAAAGAATAAAAATGTGCACTGGGAGAAGTTTCTAGATTTTTTCTAGTATATTCGGACCAAAATCGGTCTGAAAAATGAAAAGCATGGAATTTTCTGGATTCTTTGCATATATTCAAACCAAATCCGGTTCGCATATATATTCATACTTAATTTAATTTAGCTTTAGGATTAAAAATCCCTCGGAGTGCCTATATTCAGATCGATACCGGTCCGTATACCTTTATACGGACCACTATCGATCCGAATATAAACCTAAACAGCAGCTTTTTATTTTTATTTTTTTGTTATTTCATGCTTGAGTCGTTCTACTCTCGTTTTAAACCATAACATTTCAAATGTTTGCAAGCCAAAGTGGTTAACCTTAAGAAAAAAAATGAATTTGATTTGCTTGTGACTCTGAAAAAGCATTACGTAACATTATTTCTAATAACCTTCAACTTATATGTTCGTGGTTTTGCAACGATATTACTCCGTACCATCGTAAGATAATTTCAAGTAGACAATCGATGGTTTTGTGGTTCCAAGGGACTGTAGGGTCGATGTAAATGCATTAGTTTTCACAGGAATGGATTGAGGACACGAGAAAATGATGATGTCCTTAAATGAAAAGAATAAAAATGTGCACTGTGGATTTTCTACCAACATATTCGGACCAAAATCGGTCCAAATATGTTAATGTGATCTCTTGTAGGCTTTAATACATATATGGACCGAAATTGGTCCGTAATTAATTTATGCGCCAAATTTTTACCATAAATTTGAATATTTCTGATTGTGCGCTAATTTATTTATATTTGAACCGATTTTGATTCGAATATACTTAATGCGCCAACAATTTTCTCAAAAAAATTGAAATTTTTTTGTGAGGGCGCGCCAATAAGGATTATACGGATCGAAAACGGTCCGTATAATCCTTATATATATCACCACTTCTCTTCCTTTTCCTCATTTTCTCTTCTTCCTCTCTTTCTTTTCCTTTCTTCCTCTCTTTCTTTTCCTTTCTTCCTCTCTTTCTTTTCTCTTCTGCCTCTCATCTCCTTCTTCTTTTTCTTACTTTTTTTTTTCTACTTCCCTTTCTTTGTCATTTCCTTTCTTCTTTTCTCTCTTCCCTTTTCTTTCTCATTTCCTTCTATTTTCTTTTCTTTCCTCTCTTTTTCTCTCCACTTCTTCATCTTTTCTTTCCCCTTTTTTTTTTATGTTTTCTCATATGTATTTTTAAAATTTTTTTTGTTGTCTTTTTGTATTGGTTTATTTTTATTTTTTATAATATGTTTATATTTCATTAACTAACTTTTGTTTCTTTTTTTTTTTTTTTGTAGGTTACATTTGGTGAACTTTAAAATTTTTTCATATATATATGTTTATTTTATTACATTTTTCAATTTTCTTTTATATTTATATATATTTTGTTTTTTGTTTTGTAGGAAATGTGGAGAATTTCAAGTAAAAGAATTAAAGGTAATGATTTAATTAATATTTTTTATATTTTGTTGTGATTTACATTATTTATATAAATTTAGTTTATATATATTTACATTTTATTTTTTATTTACAATTATAATTACCAGCATTATATTTTTATTTATTTTTATATGTTTTATACGTACTAAATAAGTATAATTTTTATTAAGTAAAACTAAAACTAAAATT